CACACCACCGGATCCTTACCCATGTTTTCTGAATCGTCTATCCCACTTCTACCATGCTTGGTCCAAAATAACAGCAGACTGCTGGGTTCTTCTCATGGTAAAAGTGGGATATTCTCTCCAATTCTGCTCCTTCCCTCCCTCCCAACTCCCTCGCCCGTCCCTCTTCAGGGACGCTTCTCATGAGCAACTCCTTATCCAGGAGGTGCAATCACTCCTCGCCATAGGGGCAGTGGAGGAGGTTCCTCAAGAGCTAAGGGGCAAGGGTTTCTTATTATTGCCTAATCCCCAAGGCAAAGGGAGGGTCCATTTTAGACCTGTGAGGACTCCACAAATTCATGGTAAAGTTGAAGTTATGCATGGTCTCCCTGAGCATGATTATCCCTTCCTTGGATCTGGGAGACTGGTACGCCACCCTCGACATGAAAGATGAGTACTTTCACATAGTCATTTGACCTGGGCACAGACGTTTTCTCCGATTCACAGTCCTCCCATTTGGTTGGTCGACAGCCCCCTGAGTATTCACCAAGTGCATGTCGGTCATAGCAGCCTTCTTCCAGAGGAGGCAGATGCAGGTATACCCACACCTAGATGACTGGCTGCTCAGGGGCCGTACCAGGGAGCAGGTAGAGTCTCATGTACGATTGGTCAGATCCACTTTCCAGAGATTGGGACTCCTCCTCAATGTGAACAAGTCAACCTTATCACTGACCCGATGAATTCTATTCTTTGGAGTGGTGCCAGACTCGGTACAGGGAAGGGATTTCCTGCCAGAGACCCATTTCCAGGCCATGACAGATGTTCTTCAAAGCCTCAGGCGGTACCTGACCACTACCACAAGAGGATGCCTGAGTCTCCTGGGACACATGGCAGCCTGCGCATACATAGTCAGGCATGCCAGAATGAGGCTCAGACCCCTTCAAGCATGGCTCGCCCAGATATACTGACTGGGGCACGACAGGCTGGACTCGGTAGTTACGGTGCCAGGACACCTACTCGAGTCCCTACAGTGGTGGCTCAACCCTCAGATGGTATGCAAAGGTGTCCTCTTCAACAGCCCACTGCCTTCCTTGTCCCTAGTAATGGATGCGTCAGATCTGGGTTGGGGGGCACACCTGGGAGATCTCCGAACACAGGGCCTGTGGTTGCGGGATGAGCTCTCTCTTCATATCAATATCAGGGAGCTCAGAGCAATGTGATTGGCATGCCAATCTTTCCAGTCCCAGCTACAAGGCCAAAGCGTGGCAGTGATGACTGGCAACACCACTGCTATGTTCTACAACAAACAGTAGAGCCCGTTCCTCCCCCCTATGTCGAGAAGCCCTCCAACTATGGGAGTTCTGCATAGCATGCTCCATTCACCTGAAGGCATCCTGTCTCCCTGGAGTGCAGAACGAGCTAGCAGATGACCTCAGTAAATCATTCTGCAACCACAAATGGTCCGTCCACTCAGATGTTTTTCATCCCATCTTCCAAAGGTGGGGATTTCCCCAGGTTGACCTATTTGCCACCCAGAACAACAAGAAGTGCCTAATGTTCTGCTCCTCCCAGAAACACAGCCCAGGTTCAATGACGGAAGTGTTTCTGCTACCTTGGGGAGACTGCCTCATGTATACCTTCCCACTGGTCCCACTCGTACACAAGGTGCTGCTCAAGATCCGCAGGGACAAAGCGGAGGTGATTCTGCTGGCCCCAGCGTGGCCTGTCAACATTGGTACACCACACTTCTGGAGCTGTCAGTGGACACCCTGATTGTGATACCACTTTGCCCCGATCTGATCACTGAGGACCACGGACGCCTCCACCACCCAGATCTCCGGTTCCTCCACCTCACGGCCTGGAAACTTCGTGGTTAAACTCCATGGAGCAACTTGATCTTCGGTGCATACGTTATCTCTCACTATGTTATCACCCAACACGCCAAAGATGATGCAGCATTCAGCAGGGCGGTACTCCAATCAGCAATTCCTTAACTCCTACCCCATCTCCTGGGTAGAGCTCGGGAGTCACCTGATTGCAGTCGACGTGAACAATCACTCAAAGAAAAAAAAATGGTTACTCACCTTCTCGTAACTGTTGTTCTTCAAGATGTGTTGTTCACGTCCATTCCAATACCCACCCTCCTTCCCCGCTGTCGGTGTAGCTGGCAAGAAGAAACTGAAGCGGGGGTCAGGTCAGCAGGGTCATATATTGAGCGCCATGGAGGTGCCACTCCAGGGGGCTCCACAGCTGACCCGACAGGAGCTGCTAAGGGAAAACTTTCCGGCCATCTTGCATGCAGCGCGCACACACCTGATTGGAATGGACACGAACAACACATTTCAAAGAACAACAGTTACGAGAAAGTGAGTAACCGTTCTTTCTTACAGTTAAGCTTACAGGTAAGGTAAATTTGTAGGCCCAATTATTACAACAGCCCCCAGGACCACTCATCATTAATGGTGTGCACATTGCTCCAGTTATCCTGGGGACCTGTCTTATCTTCTGTTCCCTGGACAATGAAACAATTTACAGGCCGCTTGGACAAAAGATAGGAATTGTTTAACTATCACCTCCGTAGTCATAGAATGACAGTGCAGTGTTCATTTGGCTGTCTGAAAGCAAGAGGGTGATGTTTTAGCGCTTGGTTAGAAGCTGAAGAACAAAATTTTCCTGGGATTATAGCTGCATGTTGTACTTTGCACAATATTCATGAGTAAGGGAGAGAGCCTTAACAATGGGTAGGAGCCTGAGGTGCAGAGACTTACTCAGGGGTCATCCACTGTTCGGGGTGTCTGGCCCCTTGCAGTCAGAGTAAAACAAATTTAAAAAGTCAATATGCTTCTGCAGCCCGCCAAAAAAAGAGTCCTACAGCTTCAGGAAGCCAAAGGTAAAAGTATCAGCTCTTCTCCTTTCTGAGAAGGCCTGGACAGTCAAGGCTCTCCAGCCATTTTCCCAGGCAGCAATCCCTTTTTCCAGGAACCAGGGAGCTCAGAGTTACAGTCCTGCTTCTTCAGAGTGCCCCCCTGCCCTGAGCAGGCTCCCTTTTAAGTATCCACCCATCTCCAGTCTTACAAGTGCATTGGGTTGAGGTAGATTATGCCCAGAAGTGTTCTAATGCCTTCCTGACTGGGGTGGAGTGGGGATCTGCCTTACCACATGGTGAAACAAGGAGTCACGGAAATTATTTTGTTTGACTACCAACTCCATAATTCCATTACTTTCTAGTAAAAATATCAGAATGCAGAGCTCAAAACATCTCAGAAGGCATGCAGCAGAGCTGCGGAACAATATACCATGGGAAACCTGACCAGAATGCTGAGCACGCATTGTGAAACACAGTTGTGCTGCATGGCCACATAGATATAATGCAACATTAACTTGGTCACAAGATAACGATGTGGCGCGTATGAGCTGATTGTGCAATGGTTGTTGCAGATACTTAATATAGAAAAACAAAATGTGTGCCAAGTTAAGTGTAGACACGCCCAGAGTCTGAACACTCTGTTCTGGCAACTCCATGGATGTATTTGTATGTGGGCAAGTTTTCCATTGTAGACAGTTACATATGCAGTCATTTTGTATAAACAAATGTGGATTGCCTCAGCTTGTGTTCTCTTCTGGTTCCCAGTCAGGGTATTTGCGATCTATTTTTTTTACCTCTTGGGATGGGTTGTGTTTATGGCTCTTAGACTGTATATCATAGTGACCTGTGAGTGAGAGTGTAACAGAAACATGTTATTTTGATATAGTGGGTGATCACTGGCACACTATACTGTCAGTTTCTCAATGACTGGTCTGTGCAGCCTCCTTGCTAGTGCTTGAGAGTTCCCTGACACAGAATATTAATATTTAAAATGTAAAGGTTTTTTGTATTGCATTTTACATGACTGTATTCATTCAATTATTTCTGAACATTAAAAAATAAACTGACTGGGCTGACCGGTTGCCACGGTGCTGATATGCAAAGTACATTAGTTGAAAGGAAGTAGTTAACAAAGCGGCAAGCAAAATTTAAGTTCTAGTAAAGTGTTTACTTAGCTAAATCAGACAATGTCATTGTCAAAGCAGTTAGTTCTGAAAAATAGATTCAGAGGTAACAAAAGTTCAGAAAAACCGAATAGAGATGTGAGTGTCTCTGAACATGATAAGGAAGAAGGATAAGAAAAGGAAATGTTCGGCCTTCAATCAAAAATACAATTAGTCTGACATTAAGTATGGGTTTGTTGCAAGTAGGGCTGTTGATTAATTGCAGTTAACTCACGCAATTAACTCAAAAAATTAATTGTAATTAATTGCAGTTTTAATTGCACCGTTAAACAATAGAATACCAATTGAAATGTATTAAATATTTTGGATGTTTTTCTACATTTTCATATATTGTATTCTGTGTTGTAATTGAAATCAAAGTATATATTTTTGATTATAAATATTTGCACTGTAAAAATGATAAACAAAAGAAATAGTATTTTCAATTCACCTCGTACAAGTACTGTAGTGCAATCTTTGTCATGAAAGTGCAACTTACAAATGTAGATTATTTTGGTTACATAACTGCACCCAAAACCATGTACAACTTTAGAACCTAGAAGAGTCCACTCAGTCCTACTTCTTGTTCAGCCAATTGCTAAGACAAACACATTTGTTTACATTTACAGGAGATAATGCTGCCCTCTTCTTATTTACAATGTCATCAGAGAGTGAGAACAGGCATTTGCATGGTACTTTTGTAGCCGGCATTGGGACCCTAACCCTTCTAGAGCACTGCAAATTTATAAGAATCCTTCTCACTGTGCCTATATCATCCTGAACTGCAGAATGCTTATTCTACAGCTTCAGAAGACTTAAAAATTATTTCCAGTTATCAGTGGGACAGATGCAACTGAATAATGTAGCTGTCCTTAATGTGCATCAAGACCATACCAGGGAACTAGATGTAAATAAGATTGCTGACTGTTTCATCCAGAAAGCTACAGTGAGACATAATGTCGTTAACTAGGACGTTAGCAAAGACAGCTTGTAGGTGACTGCAATGATTTTAATATACTGTAATTCATGATAATGTAATTATGTAGTTCATAACAATTTAATCATTAAAATAGTAAAGATACCAACGATACACACACATTCAAAACTAGAATATAAAAGGTGTATAAATATGCTGAAAAAAGCCTTCCCCCCACCCCAACTGGCAGAGCGCCTCTTTCTCCCTCCACCCCAACACACACGCCTCTTCAAAAGCACCCACCAGCAAAAACAAAAGGCAGCGCCTATGCCTATGAATGCGCATTTCATGAAGATCTCTGCTGTAAAGAATTGCCACAAAACACAACAGGCACAGAAATCTTCTGGGTCCTAAATGAGTATGTGACAGGACATGGACTTTGGTGGGACCACTATGTTGGAATTTGCACTGACAGACTGGCTGCAGTGACAGGCAGACATTCTGGTGTAGTGGCAAGAGTGATGGAAGTTGCACCAACTGCTCAAGCAACGCCGCTTTATTCATCGAGAGGTCTTGGCAGCTAAGAAATTGTCTCCAGAGCTTAATGATGTCCTCAATATAGTTGTTAAAACTGTGAATTTTGTGAAAGCAAATGGACTAAATTGTCGCATATTTGCTACAATGTGTTAAGAATAAATTCTGACCCCATTTCTTATATGCTGAAGTGCAGTGGTTATCACATGGCAAAGTATTAAACCGAGTAAATGAACTGTGACGTGAACTTGAAGCTTTTCTGTCTCAAAAGAAGTCTCCTCTGGCAGCATACTTTCAGGATTTACAATGCTCGCCAAACTTGCATATTTGGCAGATATATTTGATCACTTCAATCAGTTCAATCTCTCTATGTTGAGTGTCTTTGTACTGGATGACAAGACCATGGCCTTTTTAAAAAAAACTCTCCAAGTCTGAAAAAAGAGAGTCGGGCGTGATTGTTATGACATGTTCCCATCTTTTGCATTTCCAGATATTGATGACAGTAAAGATGTGGATCTGCCTCACCTATGCGAAATAATTGCATCCCATCTAAAATCAACTCTTCAAAAGTTCAAGGACTATTTCCCATCAGACTCTGATCTATGAAAAGGAAAACAATGGGTTCATGATCCATTCTCCTCTCTAGAAACTGAGACCTCTTTGTCACTATCATTGGAGGACAAGTTGCTGGAAGTGTCATGAGGGTCGGAAGTTACACTTTCATTAAGTGACTCTATCTGTTTTCTGGATCAAAATCAGAAGTGAATACTCACAAGTCAGTGAACCAGATGTCAAAACTTTGCTCATGTTCCATTCCACATATCTCTGCGAAATTGGATTTTCAGTGATGACTGCAACGAAAACAAAATACTGCAACCGGCTGAGCACGCGAAAGATGCTCCAAGTGTCCTTGTCAAACATTCATCCCCGGATTGAAAGATTTGTGTCTACAAGACAGGCACAAACATCTCATTATCAGAATGGTGAGTGAATCCATCTGATTGTTTATTATTTTTTAAAACTAAATCAATTGAATTATCTCTAATGTACAAAATGAGGTATACGGTTGTAGACAAAATGATTGGTAACCTGATTTTTAAACATTGTTTCAAATGGAGGGTAACATTTTTCATATCACATGACTGGTTGAACTGGACTTTATTTTAACAAATAAACAGAATTGGAGTAGTGGCCCTGTGTTGGTAAGCAAGTAAGAAGTGTCTTACATGCAGACAGTACAAAAAGGAAACTCTTGGCAATACTGAAAAAACAGCAAGAAATACCAGTTTGGTTTTTGTTTTTGGTTGTTTGATGATTTTTTTCCTGCTCTCTCAAACAATCCATCCAGCAAACCCTGGAATTAGAATCCCTGGAATCACTACTCTATGTGATGGATTCTCCCACTACTCTGTGATTGTTCCTTTGTCTGACTGCTCACAACCACCAACTCTATAGATGTCTATGTCCTATAACAGTGGTTTTCAACCTTTTTCATTTGCGGACCCCTAAAATTTTTCAGAGGGAGGTGTGGACAACTTTGGAAATTCTGCCTCTGGTCCATGAACCCCTACCATAAAAGTCTTAGACTGAAAACTGACTGAACAGAATTAAACTAGAAATATTGCATATGCTTGGCATGGCATTTGATGCAGTGTGAGAGAGGGTGCTAAACTGTGGGCTTCTATGGTAACAACATTTCTGGGTTTTGACCTGAAGGTGGGAGTATTCACATATTTTTGATTGGTCAGAAAAATTGAATGCCTTTTCTGGGATCTGAAACTCTAGTTTCATAGTCACCTTTCACTGACCCCTTCAACATAGTTTGTGAACCCCCAGGGGTCCATGGACCACAGGTTGAAAGCATTTGTCATGCATTTTGTTTGCTGAGCTCCTTTCTCATTGCTGACATTTAATCAATACTACCTTCATTAGTGTCCTCCTTGTTACATTCTCCACCCATTCTTGTATTTGCCCCTTCTTCCATGCTTAAGTTTAGAGCACCCTTCCTCTTCTTGTGTGCCAGCCAAGTGTCCTGTTCTCATTCAGATGCTCCTTTAAAACATGTATTTTTTTCAGCGTGGCTCTTCAGTATTCACTCGCCAATTGCAATTTCAAAATGTCTATTTAATATTTCAAAACACCCATCGCTGCCTGCATCTTGGGACTAGGACATACATACTACATTATTGTATATTAGACTATATTTCTATACTGGGGCAGGCAAACTTTTTGGCCTGAGGGCCACATCGGGTTTCCAAAATTGTATGGAGGGCCGGTTAGCGGAGGCTGTGCCTCCCTAAACAGCCAGGCGTGGCCTGGCCCTGACCCCTATCCGACCCCTCCTGCGTCTCGCCTCCTGCCAGCCCCCCCAGGACTCCTGCCCCATCCAACCCCCCCTCTGTTCCCTGTCCCTTGACCACCACCCCATCCAACCCCCCCCTCCTTCCTGACTGCCCCCCTGGGGACTCCTGCCCCATTCAACCCTCCTGTTCCCCGCCCTCTGATCGCCTCAACCCCTATCCACATTCACACCCCCACCCCCTGACCACCACCCCAAACTCCCCTGCCCTCTATCCAAACCCCCCCCCGCCCCCTTACCGCACTGCCTGGAGCACCGGTGGCTGGCGACGCTACAGCTGTGCTGCCCAGAGCACCAGGACAGGCACCTGCACCACCCAGCAGGAGCCAGCCACGCCACTGCGCAGCCCATAGCACTAGGTCAGGCCCCGGCTGTGCAGCTGCGCTGCCCCAGGAGCTCGCAGCCCTGCCGCCCAGAGCATTGTGCTGGTGGCGCAGTGAGCTGAGGCTGCAGGGGATGGGGAACAGCAGGGGAGGGGCCAGGGGCTAGCCTCCAGGGGCAGGAGCTGAGGGGCCGGGCAGGAGGGTCCTGAGGGCCGGATGTGGCCCGCGGGCCGCAGTTTGCCCACCTCTGGTCTATACGATATGGTACACCATGCTCCATGCACTCTACTGGTCATCGTTCACTTCAGGTACAATTCAAGGTGGAAATAACAATCTTTAAAACTCATCATGGTCTGGGTCAAAGTAATGTAAAGTGTAGTTCTACTCTGAAAAGGGTCTGTAAAGATGGCATCATGCGGTTTCATGGTTATTGTCTTTCAATGACCTTTGCATCAAATGTAACATGAGTTACACTACATTTTTAATTGCCAGCCCAGAAAACTCAGTCTAGGCTGTGACAGCCATGTTGGGGCTCTTTCTATTTTGTGCATCATCCAGGGGCGGCTCTATGTATTTTGCCACTCTAAGCACAGCAGTTTCGGTGGCACGCCTGCGGGAGGTCCACTGGTAACGCGGATTCGGCGGCATGCCTGTGGGAGGTCCACCGGTCCACAGGGCAGGTGCAAGGAAGTTTAGCGCCCTAGGCGAAACTTCCACCTTGCAACCCCCCCCCCCAGCCCCTGTGGCGGCTCCTCACACCCCCCCCATGGCAGCTCCACTCCCCTCCCCTCCGCCCTGACGGTGCCCCCCCCCCCGCGGGGAGCCGTGTGGCAGCTCCCTACCCCAGCTCACCTCTGCTCCGCCTCCTCACCGAGCACGCCGCCCAGAGATGAGCTGGGGTGGGGAGCTGCCGCATGGGTGGGGGGGTGCCTCAGGGAGGGGGGGAGCTGCTGCAGGGCTCCCCACCCCAGCTCACCTCTGCTATGCCCCCTCCCCAAGCACGCCGCCCCCGCTGGCAATGATAATAATTGCATGGAGCGGCCGCTGCACTGGGAGAGGGAGTCTGAGATGCACGTGTCAGCGTGCCGCCGGCAGCCCAGCCACGCTGTAAAAAAAAATTGGGGGCACAGCTTTTTGGCGCCCCCAAATCTTGGCACCCTAGGCAACCGCCTAGTTTGCCTTAATGGAAGCACCGGCCTTGCTGGTCCCGTGCCTTCGCTGTACCTACCGTCAAATTGCCGCCGAAGCTGCAGGACTGGCGGACTTCCCGCAGGCATGCCGCCGAAGGCAGCCTGACTGCTGCCCTCACGGTGACTGGCAAGGCGCCCCCCGCAGCTTGCCGTCCCAGGCACGTGCTTGCTGCTCTGGTGCCTGGAGCCGCCCCTGGCATCATCACTAGAAGTAAAAGTTCTGCAGGCTAGTCAAATCATTCAATGACCTCTGCAGCCTACTTGTTATTAGCTAATGCTCTCAGTGACTGATGCATAAACCCCATTATCTTTAGTGGTTTATATTAACATATCTGAGTAGAAATAGAGATAAGGCTGGGGAGATAATACTGTATCTTCTATTGGACAAACTCCTGTGAAAGAGACAAGCTTTGGAGCTGAAGAAGAGCTCTGTGTCACTGGAACGCTTGCCTCTTTCCCCAACAGAAGTTGATCTAGTAAATGATTCCCTCGCCCACCTTGTCTCTCCTTCATTATGTATTGTCCTAGCTAGTGAAGCTCAGAGGGGAATCTATCAGGTGCCACAGCTGGTGGCTGCAGGATAGTCTCACTTGACAGCCTAAGCCTGTCCCTCCACAAGCAGCTTCAGGCTAGGGATTCCAGCTCTTCTCCCCTGCTCCCCCAGACTCCGGAAAAAAGGCGAATGGGAGTGATTTTAACAACGTGGGCCCCCTTTAAGAAATAAAGTAGTAAATTGCCCAGCTGGGATTTGATTGACTGCTGGGATAGCCAGTGAGTTGGTTTAGGACTGAAGAGAGCGGGGCAGCCAATGGGCCCTTGAGGGACGGGATGAGATGTAGTTTAGGGAAGTAAAGTTGTGGGTGGGCTTTCATGAGCCAATTGGTTCCCCAGGGCACGTGTAGGCGGATAGATTAGGGGAAGGGCGCGGCAGAGGCGGGTCGGGTAGCTCACAGTACGCAGTTTGGTTATGATCGAGCGGACGCGGCTCAGTAGCTGGCTGGCTTAGCGGGTCTCAGCGCTGAGACAGCGGGCGGGGGAATGGCTCCTCTGCGGGGTCCTAAGGCGGGAATGGAGGAGCCGGAGCCGGGTGCGGGCTCCTCCCCGCGGCGCTTCACCTGGGAGGAGATCGGGCTCCGCACGGGCCGGGGGCACCCGCAGCAGGAGCGGTGGCTGGTGATCAACAGGAAGGTCTATGACATCAGCCAGTTCTACCGGCGGCACCCGGGGGGCGCCCGAGTCATCAGCAGCTACGCGGGGCAGGACGCCACGGTGAGGGGCAGAGGCGTCCGGGTTATCAGCGTGGGCAGGCCAGGGAACAGAACTGGGACCCAAGCGGGCAGGGGATGGGGTAGTTGGGTTATCCGTCATTGTGCGGGGCAGGATGCCACGCTGGTGGCAGCAGAGGGGAGGGCCACGTAATTGGCCTCTGTACGGTCAGGACAGCTGCGTTGGAGAGCTATAGACATGATTGATTTATCAAGACTACAGAAAGTCTCAGTTGTAGGCTGAGGAGAAATGTATTTGTCATATGAGAGAGATTTGTGCGTGCAATCGCACTAAACTGCACAGCGTCTATCTAATCCTTTGTTACTGATATCACTAGGCCGGTGACTTCAAGTGACTTCTAGCCAACGGAACTCCCCGATTCAACAGGCGTTGGAGTGTGGTTCCTACAGACAGATGTCACTTGAGGTGGTTTATGCTGGGAGTTGAGTGGCAGGGGAAACTGCCTCCTCTAATGCCCATAGATAGAAACAAATGTTCTTTTCACTCCGATCCCTCTCTCCTCAGTGACACTGATTCTTGTGGGAGAAATAATAACTGACTGGTAAAACACTGCTGTTTTAGGGAACTGGGAGTCACAGGTTGCTAAAGAGAGAGAGTGTGTTTGTATTTTTATTAAATGCTTGCAAAAACCCAATTGTGAGGATTAGCAGACCAGACTGTCTGAGAATAGCAGATAAATCAAAACACAAATTTCTAATTACCTACCATGCTCATAAATGTCCCAATCTCTGGTCTGGGGAAAGCATTAAAACTTATTCCTGATCATGACAACAGTGTTTAATCTTTGGGGAAAGAGTCAAGTTTGGCAAAAATGGAATATTAAAAAAATGAACAATTTAAGGTTTAGTTTAGTATTTCTGCAGCTCTGAGAAAAATCATTCTGTTAGGACTCTGGACATACGATTGATTTAGGCCCTACAGGGCACAGTCAGAGGACTGCAGCTGTTTCCACTGTGTTACAGAAGGAAGACCCCGTATGGGAGGACTATCAAATGAGACTGTTACTAGGAAGGAAACTTAGGAAGTAACCTGAAAGTAAATTTGTGGACCACAAGAGTTAGAGAAAGAGATGAGTTTCCTGTTTCTGTGGGTGGAAAAGAATCTGTTAACTCTTGGCACATTATGTAGATGTGAAAAGATATCACTGAGCAGACAGACAAAGCCAAAACCCAATATTCCATAGGCTGTGCTTCCTGCTCTCCGTCCCTAATGCCCAGCTGTAGCTGTCCCTTTATAAGCCTCTTTAAATTCGTGTCAGACATTCAATTATCTGACATCTTATTATCAGTGTATGTTGGCAGACCACAAACATACCCTTGTAACCCCCTGTTTCAGGGGCCTCCAGTCTTATGCCACCCTCTGTGATTTGGGCAGCTGGCTAGCACCCACCCTGAAACAATCTGAGAGGCATTTTTTACTAGCAAAAGGTATTTTTCTAAATTGTTTCTGACTCATCCACCTTCTTCACCTAGGAGTTTTTATGAGGGTTGGCCTGTGACTGAAAATGCAGCTGCATCTTACAACCTACAGTCCCACTGAAATCATTGGGCTACATTATGGCTGGGTCGCATTTAAATTCTTCTTTGTATTACTGCTCAGTTTTCTTTATATAAAAGTTAATTTCTTGTTCACCTTTGGAGTGGCTATCATTTCTTTTATTTGCTTTCTCCTTCTGGCTCTTTAATACTGAGAACTCCTCTCTCACCCTTTCCTTAAATGGTTAATCATTCATTTTTGTTGCTAAGTGATACAGTACCATACCAGATGCTGGGGGACTTGTGAAATAAAATATGGTGTTTAGAAAGGTGCTAAAGATGTCTACAATTTCACTGGTTCTCCTGCCTCTTAATTGTGTTTTGGGAAACAAAATCAACAGGTAAAAATGGTGTTCTTCCTGCTTCCCTTTCCAACCTTCCTAAAAAATAATAATAATAAAAAATCACTGCACTTGCACATTGAGCTCCCTCATATAAGTCACATCTGGTGTTTAGGATATGTTAGCCAATCCATAGGGCTGGGATATCATTTTTGGTAGGTAAATTTCAGAATGTAAACCTCCAATTTTGAAGCATTTTAAAACACGGTTTGTACCTGCCTACCCTGAAAGCTGATCTATACACCTTGATCTTATCAGCTGTGCACTACTCCGAGCTGGTTTCACACCAAAAAGCTGATGGGTGGGAATCGCACATAGGTGCTGGAACGAGAGGTGCTGGGGGTGTGGCAGCACCCCTTGGCTTGAAATGGTTTCCATTATATATAGGGTTTACAGTTTGGTGAAATGGCTCTCAGCACTCCACTATTAAAAATGGCTCCAGCATCCCTGGAGTTGCGTTGAGGGCAGCATGAGAAATATAAGACGGAAGAGGAGCACTATTGATTCTAAGAAATGTTCCTTAGAAAAGGTGATGAAATAAAAGTCAGGATATACTGGTAAATATCAGCCTTACTTCAGAACTGGATGTCACCTCTTCAGCACCAATCCTGCGTTTGTTTTTTGCCTGTGAGAATAGAAGCAGGAAATAAAAGGGACTGGGGCTCACTGAAGAAGGGTGAGGGGATGGAAGGGATCATGTGTGTTTCCTTTTCATATAAGGCCTTGAAGCTCTCACCATGCACACTCTCAGGCCTGGTCCCCACTTAGTCCGGACTTCGGACTAAGGTACGCAAATTCAGCTACGTTAATAACGTAGCTGAATTCGAAGTACCTTAGTCCGAACTTACCGCGGTCCAGACGCGTCCGGAAGTCTCCCCCCGTCGACGCCGCGTACTCCTCTCGGCGAGCTGGAGTACCGGCGCCGACTGTGAGCACTTCCGGGATCGATTTATCGCGTCTTAACCAGACGCGATAAATCGATCCCAGAACATCGATGGCGTGCCGCCGGACCAGCCGGTAAGTGAAGACTAGGCCTTAGATAGGGGAAGTGGAATCAAGAGGTAACCAGCAGTCAGCTAATCAGCTTGTGAGGAAGTTGAGTGGCTCTGTGATATGCTGACTGCCTTATTGTCAGAGGGTGGGTTTTCTCCAAGGGATGTAGTGGAGCTAGGCATTCATGAAGGGGCTGTTTTTTTCTCATTGTGATCAGACTGTGTACTCAAGGTGGTGCCGTTTTTTTTTTATATACAAAAGGAGACTGATCTGAATGTACTTGCTTAATAGCACAATTACTTTCTCTACAGTCACACAAGTATTGCTGGCCAGAGGTAATAAGGAAATCATAAATAAAATTATTTCACAAAAAAGTGCATGGTCCTTTTTAAGAATGTGGCTCATGATTCTTCTTTGTTCCAAAATGTGCGTTAGAGACTTTGCCTCCATTAGAGGTTACTGCCACTCTACAGCCACCAGGTGAATGAAAGGAGATATCTCAGTGGCTAGGGCAGTAGACTGGACTTGGGAACACTAGTTTAAGTACCTGCTGTATCAGACTATCTGTGAGACGTGGGGCAAGTCACTTAATCTCTCTGTGCTGAAGTTTCCCGTCTGTTAAATGGGGATAATAGCACTTCCTTAACTTATTGGGGTGTTGTACAGATCCATATAATAAAAGATTGAGGCACTCTGATACTATGGTCATGGCTATAGAAGCACCTGGAAAGATGCAATGACTAGTCTAAACTATAATGTCATCGTTCCTGCTTTGTATATGTATCCAGGCCCTCCAACAGGTACACACAAATGGAGAAACTAGTAGCCTTAGGCCTATCAAACCTACTCGGTTACATAAGATGTCTTACTACTTCGTGCCATGATGCCAAACAGCTGTCAGTTCCAGTAACAGAACTGCTGATGTTCTGGAGGCTCTTTCTGCTCTATGGCCCTATCTTCACTTCTCTCTTCCTTCCCTGATCAGGCCATTACCCAAAGCTAGTCATCACCTGCTTTCACTTTCCATCCCTGCTTTATTGTTGTGTTCCTTGTAACCAGATGAGGTGGGGGTGGCATTAAAGTGTATCCTACTATAGCTGTTTGTAACATGTCTATCACCATAGTACTTATACACCAAAACAATTATTAAGAAATACAGTTTGCCTATATATCTTGCTTTATAAACATAGGGTTAGATTGTTACCTGCCCTGCATACTTCTAAAAGGGAGTAAGAAATTCCCATACATCCATGAGTGAGCTACCTGAACATTTGGCTCATTTATAAAGGAGTAAGTGGGGCTACTCACCTGCTTACTACCATCCCAAGCAAGTGAATGGGCCAGAGTAGCTGAGCCAGCAGAAGGAGGAAGTATACTGTTGGTATAGGTCTCATGAGCCTGGAGGAAAGAATTGTGGCTCAGGGTCACAATGCATCCCAACACAACAGCTGGGGTGGTGCAGCTTGGTCAGGGCAATGCCTAAAGTAAAAATCTAGCCCTGAGATAATGATAATTATACTTGAGGTTAACATGTTACCTTTCATCTGATGATCTCGCAGCATTTTACAAGTGTGGGTAAGGATTATTATCCATATTTTTAGGCAAAGAAGCGGAGTACAGACAACTTAAGTGACATGTGCAAGGATACATAGCAAGTCTGTGACAAACACAGGAACTAGAGTCTGGGTTCTCCTGACTCCCAGGCCTGTATTGTACTGACTAAATATGTTGCCTAAATTAAGACATGTCCCAGGCCTGCAATACTGTTGCCAATTCTAATGATTTTATCATGAGTCTTGTGATATTTGGCACCAAGGGCTCTGAAGGAAATAAGTAGAAATGAGATAAGAGGGAAGGTCCTCTCATTGATCAGTAACTGGTTGAAAGATAAGAAACAAAGGATAGGAATAAATGGTCAGTTTTCACAATGGAGAGAGGTGGACAGAACCCAAGGATCTGTGCTGTTTAACATATTCATTAATGATCAGGAAAAGGAGGTGAACAGTGAAGTTGTATTATTTGCAAACTTTACAGGATAGATAAATCCAAAGCTGATTGCAAGAGGGCTCTTACAAAAGAGTGGCAGAGGGCTCTTACAAAATTGGCTGATGGG